AGTTTTGGATAAATATAATTCAACTAAATCAGTTGGTACATTCAGAATAGCACTGCTTAATATACAAAGTCTGAGAGCTCACTTTCAGGATCTTCTTGCACATACAGTTCTAATGAATGCTGATTGTATTTGTTTGACAGAAACATGGCTGTATGAAAATGATGAACTGGAACTGCAAATACCAGAATTTGTGTTCAATCACAACCCACGATCTAAGTGTTATGACAACAAATGTGTTGTTTCTGCTGAATTAAAACACCAGAGAGGAGGTGGAGTTGGAATGTATTGTTCTGAGAAAATTGAGTGCCATATCTTTACTCCTGAGCTCTGGAATTTGGAATGTTTATACTTTACAGTTCCACATGTTAATTTAAAAGCTGCAGTTCTTTATAGGCCCAGTTCATATAAAATTGATGTGTTTCGACAGCATATATTACATATTATTGAAGAACTAGAAAAGCATTCTGGACAGAAAATAATAATGGGTGACTTCAATGATGATATCTTTACTTCATCTATGACTATGAAATTAATGGAACAACATGGATATACTCAACATGTACAAAGACCAACCACAGAAAAAGGTACATTAATAGATCATGTGTATACAAAACAAATGGAACATATAATTGTTGATGTTGTGCAAACATACTATAGTTTTCATCAGGCAATACTTATTTCATTTTTGTGATAAAAATGTTATTTATGACATCAGATGAGACGGCTCTCTGGGGATGGGAAGGGAAGGGAAGGGAAGGGAAAGACAGGAATTGGAGAAAAGGTAGCCTGTTTGTTTGTTTTTTTTAATGTTTTTTTGTTCTCCAAATTTTGATATGTTTTGGTATGTATTTGTCACCCAATTCATAAACACTTCACTGTGGCCTGGTATCCCTTTGTATGTGGTGCCTCGTTCTTTTTTGCCTCTGCCATGGACTATTATCACCCATACTCTACAATGGACTTATGGGTTAATGACTGGAGTGTCTCATCTTTTTGAACTTTTAATTAATGATCTACATGTACATAAGATACACCTCTTTCACACCCTTTGGATCTACCTCGGCTTTCAAGTCCTTTGCAATCAAACTGGTTCAGCAGTCATCAGCATGTCCACCTGTTCTGCACCACAAAGGTCTCCACTTAGTCTCCTCTTCAGACAATCAATGTGCGTATTTTCATCATTTATAATTTATTTATAAATGTTATTTTGGTTTTGTTTTCATATGCATATCATGTGTAGTTGTCTTTTAAATTATATAACAATATAAATATTGTTGTTATTTATTTTGTTTAGATTATATAACAATTAACAATATAAATATTCTTGTCTACAATAGAAATACCTGTTGATTGTTTTTATAAAATTGTATTGTGTTTTAGGAAGATGGGAACATCATTTGTCATGCAGTTAAATGCAAGCAATTATGCCTGAACTCTCCAATCATTCTGTTGTGTTGGAATCGACATTTCTACCTCTACAAGAACATATATAATATATAGTTCTTGTAAGTATATTTTACTTTACTGATTTTCTAAATTTTTCTTATGGATATAATTGTATATGTTTTCTAAATTGCAGAACCATACAATAAACAGTACTATATATTTTATATTCTTTTGGGAATAAAATGCACTACATACAATCTGTAATATTCATGTTTGAAATAACTCTGCCCTCCTTGTCAAATCTTTTAGCTTTACTGGAGACTTGCATCCTTGCACTGGCTAGCTTCATCTTGGTCTACCCCGCTGTACATATGCGTCTCTATTTGTTCCTGTTTATCAAGACTGTTTGCTGAACACATATTATAACAGAAAGTTGTTGTGAGTATATTTATCTCTCGTATACACTGTTTTATATATTTCTATAAATACACTATATATAATATATAATAATTGTTTTTGTAGGACACAAGGAAACTCTCAGCAACATTCAGCTGTACAAGAAATCTTCAGTCCTTTACCTATGATACCTTTATTAGTTTCACCAGCTCCAACTTGATCCATACAACTTTTTTCACCAGAATCCCATTGCAAATTTATCACACTTTGCCACATTTACCATAAGCACCCTCCACAATTTCTGCATAACTGTCTTCCTCTATTTTTGTCTTTTTTTTTTTTTTTTTATTGGTCAGTTTGATTATGTTTCTTTCACTAAATGACTTTTATGTTCATTTGTGGTTGGTTTGAATCTTTGTTAGTTCTATATATTTCACACTTTCTTTATTCACTATACGTGTTTTCTGTTTGTACCCCATTTTGTTGTTGTTAATACTGTTACTTCTAAAATTGTTCTTTGTATTATCTTGTTAGTTCTGAAATTGTTCTTTGTTTATCAAGAGTACAATGCCCTTCTCACCAGGATCTTGCAATATTTGAAAAAAATAAAAATAAAATACATACTTATTTTGAATACATATACATATTCTAAAGAAATGTCTGTATGTAATTGTTGAATGAAATAACTTTAATGTATAGTGATATTTATGTCTTTGGACTTTCAGCCATATAGTGTTCTTGCTGAAATGCATAACAACACAGATGTCTATATTGTCTTCTCATGTAAGTTTCAAATAAAATATTACATATGCTATGTACATGTTTGATATTATTTATATAAAAATTGATTTGCTGCCAGTAACAGAAATGTAGTATTTTAGTAGTAATTAGTATTAATTGGGTTACAATTACAAAAGGTAAGTTAAGGTTTTTATTTAAACTTCTAATGAAAAATCCTAATTTATCAGCCTGACCATAATCCGACTGAAATATAGTAATATTTCAACAAACAGTCTATGAGAAGTTTGCATAAGAATCTTTTGAACAAAATCAATATGATGTACAGAAAGTTTTGCCAAATATGGCATATTAAATATCAATGTTGATTCAAGGAATAAGTTGATATACATTTTACCACAATAAACATGCAGTCAAAACTTACTAGCAATTCTAACTTTCTTACTTCCTTTCTGATTCATTATTGATAGTTAGTGATTGGTTTATAATTCGTGACCACTAAGTTGCACTGTAACCAAGTTTATGTGTTTGCGTCATAGTGAGTTACCAATGACACATAAAGTTCAGTGTCAATATGTTTAAGCATTGCAGATACAGCCTTAAATGAACTTTGACGTTTATCGATATGATTTAGATAAGCGTCTAGGAGGAGTTTGCAAAATAAGGTTTTTGAACAAAATCAATATGATTGAAACGAATTTCACAAAACTTGCTTGTAATTTTCTGTTTATTATCCGAATCAAATTTGCTGACAATTTAGCTACCAGTCTAAGAGAAGTTTAAATAAGAATTCTTTTTTACAAAATCAATATGGCATACAGGAATTTTAGCCAAAAATGGCATATTTAATATCAATGTGCTTGGGATGATCCGAGGAATAAGTTAAAATATTTTATTACCACAATAAACATATGCAGTCAAAGATTATTAGTACATTTATGATTCATTGTTGATGGTTATGATTAGTTTATAACTCGTCACCACTAGGTTGCACTGTTTTCAAATTTATGTGTTGTGAATTGTACATTACAAATGACACACCTACATTTCAGTGACAATATGTTTATAAACCAAAAAAGCACGTTTTTTTGTATCTCCGGACCACTAGACCACTAGAGTTTCATTTTGAGACTTCATGTTTGGTCTGATTAATTTTAAGACTGTCCTCTATCATTGTGCCAGATGCACACCATGTTTTGTAGTGATATGTGAATATGATGGTAAAATATAGAATTTGAAATGGGCGACAGCCAAAATGGCTGACTTGTGAAAATCAGACATCATTCGACTCGACATGCTCTGCCAAATGTAATGAGACCAGTTTTATGAGTTTCAGACGAAAAGTTGAGATGTTATAAGCCAAAAAGCAAGTTTTTTTTATCTCCGGACCACTAGGGGGCAGTGCGCCGAAACTCCGCATATAACCTCAAACTCTAGTTGTCATAAAACACACCAAGTTTGATGTGAATTGGTGAATGCGTTACGGAGATATCGTCTCAAGTCCATTTTTGCAAATTCTACATTAAATTTGATTGCAAGTTAAACAAAAACGGTTGGTCAAATCAACTTGAATTCCATAACTTTTGGTTGACATGGACTGTAGATCATGTGATTCAATTTTGGTGATAATCGGAGAAACGGCCTAGGACGAGTTCAATCAAATAGGCTTTTTGAAGAATTTAAAATAGCGCCAAAAAATTAATGACGGACAATGATGTCATAGGGTGCGTTTGAATCGGACTGAGCCAAGGAATCAGGGGAAAAAAGAATTTTGATTGTAGCCCATTCGGTTCAAAAGTTAATATGATAAACGTACATGAAAGTTTGGACAAGTGGTGGCGCTAGAGAGCTTGATTTTGAGACTTCATATTTGGTATGATTAATGTTAATACTGTCCTCTATCATTGTGCCAGATGCATACCATGTTTTGTAATGATATGTGAAAATGTTGGTAAAATATAGCATTTTTGGCCAAAAATCGTAATGGGCGACGCCCAAAATGGCTGACCTGTGAAAATCAGACATCATTCAACTCGGCATGCTCTGCCGGATGTAATGAGACCAGTTTTATGAGTTTCGGACAAAAGGTTGAGATGTTTTAAGCCAAAAAGCAAGTTTTTTGTATATCCGGACCACTAGGGGGCAGTGCGCCGAAACTCTGCATATAACCTCAAACCCTAGTTGTCATAACACCCACCAAGTTTGGTGTGAATCGGTGAATGCGTTATGGAGACATCTTCTCAAATCCATTTTCGCAAGTTCTTCGTTAAATTTGATCGCAAGTTAAACAAAAACGGTTGGTCAAATCAACTTGAATTCCATAACTTTTGGTTGGCATAGTCTGTAGATCATGTGTTTCAATTTTGGTGAAAATCGGAGAAACGGCCTAGGACGAGTTTGATCAAATAGGTTTTTCGAAAAATTTAAAATAGCGCGAAAAAATTCATGACGGAAAATGACGTCATATGGTGCGTTTGAATCGGACTGAGCCAAGGAATCAGAGAAAAAAAGAATTTTGATTGTAGCCCATTCGGTTCAAAAGTTATGATGATAAACGTATGTGAAAGTTTGGACAAGTGGTGGCGCTAGAGAGTTTGATTTTGAGACTTCATGTTTGGTCTGATTAATGTTAATACTGTCCTCTATCATTGTGCCAAATTATACAACTTTCCCGCATACGCCTATATGGGCTGCCATTCAAATCCGGCGGAAGAAACGGAAGAAGAAGAAGAAGAAGAAGAATAATAATAATAATAATAATAATAATAATAATAATAAGAACACTAACGAAAGCAATAGGTGCCTACGCACCTACGGTGCTTGGCCCCTAATAATAATAATAATAAGAACACTAACGAAAGCAATAGGTGCCTACGCACCTACGGTGCTTGGCCCCTAATAATAACAATAATAATAATAATAATAATAGAAATAATAATAATAATAATATTAATAATCATTTAAAATAATAATTATAAAAAATAATAAAATGAAAATATAGCAATAACATGTATAATAAAACATAATAAAATAATATTAATAAATATGAATAATAAGACAATAAAAATAATAATAATGATAAATAAAAATAATAGAAAATATTAATGATAAAAAAACAACAAGAATAATAAGAATTAGAATAAAAGAAAATAACAAAATATTATTAATAATAATAATAATAATAAAACAACAATAATAAAATTCGAATAATAATAATAATAATAGTACTAATAATAATTATTATTACAAAATTAATAATAATAATAATAATAGTGGCACAGTGGCTCAGTTGTCAGTGTCGCCTCACAGCAAGAAGGTCACTGGTTCGAGTCCCGTCTGTGTCAGTTGACGTTTCTGTGTTGAGTTTGCATGTTCTCCCCGTGTTGGCGTGGGTTTCCTCCAGGTGCTCCGGTTTCCCACAGTCCAAACACATGCGCTATAGGGCAATTGATGAACTAATTTGACCGTAGTGTGTGTGTGTGTGTGTGTGTATACAAGAGTGTATGGGTGTTTTCTAATACTGGGTTGTGGCTGGAAGGGCATTCAAATAAATAAGTAAAATATATGCTGGATAAGTTGTCGGTTCATTCCGCTGTGGCGACCCCTGATTAATAAAGCGATTAAGCCGAAAAAAAATGAGTGAGTGGGTGAATAATAATAATAATCATAATAATAACAAAACTGATTAATAATGTACTATTCTTGAACTCAAGGTGCTGCAGTGTATATAAAAAACAAGTACGTTGACCCTAAGTTGACCTATGACTAACCAGCATTTTTTGTGTAGCTAATTTAAAAACAACATGGAAATAAACGATAAGGAAATCAGTGTCTCCAAACTAAAATATATCACAGACTGAAAGACCTGAGCAATGTGTGTGTGTGTGTGTGTGTGTGTGTGTGTGTGTGTGTGTTATAAAAGCTCTCAGAGCAGCATACCATAAATATTTCAGCGCATCTGAAAAGATGACAAGCTTTCGCTCTCCATAACTCACTCTCTGACCACAGACAGAAAAACTGCATTTATTTAAAGGTCAAAGAGGAAAGACTGTGTGTGTGTGTGTGTGAGTGTGTGCTTAGTCGGAGTCTCATCCTATGAGTCCAGGCCTGACAACACCACAACACACACACAAACACAGATGTGTCTTTGTGCTCGTCCTTGTGTCTGAGTGTGTGTGTGATGATGAACACTGTGCTCTTTGTGAGATGGTCCCGAGGCATCCATGTGTGTGTTTAGGACACAGCCATGGGAACATTCAAACAGGAGCGTCCAGTGCCATATGATCAGCATGTGACAGTCGCACATATTCTCACACACACACACACACACACACACACACACACACACACACACACACACACACACACACACACACACATATTCTCATACACACCCTGACATGAACACACACAAACTCTTTTTCTTACACACACTCTCACACACATACACACGCATACATGCTCTCTCTTTCACACTTACACACATAGACACTCGTATACACTCTCTTACATGTGCACACACACACACACACACACACACACACACACACACACACACACACACACACACACACACACACACACACACACACACACACACACACACACACACACACACACACACACACACACACACACACACACACACACACACACACACACACACACACCGGACAATTTAGCCTACCCAATTCACCTGTACCACATGTCTTTGGACTGTGGGGGAAACCGGAGCACCCGGAGGAAACCCACGCGAACGCAGGGAGAACATGCAAACTCCATCGAACCAGCGACCTTCTTGCTGTGAGGCGACAGCACTACCTACTGCGCCACTACGTCGCCCTATCAACATATTTGTAAAACTAAAATGTAATTTTATACACAATTACATTTACATTTTTACCAGAGAAAAAAAATGGAACTGAATAATCCGTATCTTCATTTCTCTTTGCTTTTATTCATCCTAAACCATAAAAAAAATCCAGACATGCTGAGAGAGAAGATTTTTATTATTATTATTATTATTATTAATTATTATTATTATTGTTATAATTATCAAATCTATTATCTGTTTTTCTTTTTGGTCATTTATTTCTTAATGTAATTTTTTTCATCTTAAATGTAACGTAATTAATTAATTAATTTAATTACATTTAAGATTTTAAAAATTACTTCACGGGGAGAACATGCAAACTCCACACAGAAACACCAGCTGACCCAGCCAGGACTCAAATCAGCGACCTTCCTGCTGTGATGTCACAGTGCTACTCACTGAGTCACCGTGTCACCCCCTATAAAGTTTAAATTAATTATATTAATATTTTAATACTCTATATATATTTTGTAATATGAATATTCACCCTCATACTTTAAATGAATTAGTCTGTGCGGAATGAAACTATTAAATAAAAATCTGCCTGACCTTAAACACCCCAAAAACCAAAACCCGTGCAAAGCAACAGACGAACAGACACTGATTATCAAAACGTACACCGTGCCATCTGTAATAATCCAAACACGTCTGATCTACACTGATGAATCCGGGTAGCAATCAATAGTAATTCATAAAGACAGGCATCAGAATCGCTGTGTGTGCACGTGTGTGTGTGTACGTTGTGTGTGTGTGTGTGTGTTCTCAGCCAGATCTCATGCTGAGTCACTAATTACAGACATGTAGAGCTCAGCATAACACACGCAACAACCAGCAGCGCAGTGATGTGAGTGTGTGTGTGTGTGTGCATGTGTGCATGTGTGTGTGTGTGTGTGATTAACCTCCACGGCTCACATCACAGCCAATGCCTCAACTGGAGTGATAACACTCAATCCAGTGTACGTGTGTGTGTGTATATGTGTGTTTGTTCATCTTTTATTACACTGCATATTTTTTATTGTTTCATCAAGTCAAGCATCTCTGTTACAGTCTCGTCGTTTCATTGCACTGATTTTTACGTTTGTGCATTTACGCATTTAGCAGATGCTCTGTTTTCTGCTTTTCCCAATTAAGCATCCTCATTATTACTGCCATGTCATTGGATTTTGATGCACTTTTCATTTAAGCATTTTGCTAAGGAGTGCATGATGTTTAATGTCTGTGATTATGCCCTAATATTGTTGTTTTGATTATGTGAGATAAGGCGTTATGAAGCATGTCAATTACCTTTGCAGAAAAAGTGAAAAAGCATGCTTTGTGTGACGCAGTCCATTTAAATGCTGCTAAAATTAATCTATAACTCAAGTTATGAAAGAAAAATATATATAATGTATTTATAAGAGTTTGTGTTTATATATTTAAAGCATGATATGATTCGATTTCACACAAGCATGTCGTTTTCCTGAATATCAGCAGCAATTAATTATTTATTCAGTCATGAAAGAGTCAACTGGTCTTCTTCTGAATGAATCAGCGGTTTTGAACAAATATTTTGAATGAATGATTCAATGATTTGCTCATTAAGCCTGGGACTTGCTGCCACATTAGGTAGTTTGAGTTTCAATGATGTTTAATAATTTATTACAGGCATAAATCAACCAAGAACAGAATAAAAACAGTCCTGTTTTGTAAAAATAAAATAAAAACATTAAAATATTAATTACTATTTGGTTGTTCTGCCTCTGTCTGCTAGTTTTATTAAATTAAATTAAAAGTAATCAAAATGAATTAAAATAAAATAAAATTTAAATTAAATAATTAATATTTTTTATTAAATTCAATAAAAACTAAAATGAAATAAATTATATATATATATATATATATATATATATATATATATATATATATATATATATATATATATATATATATATATATATATATATATATATATATATATATATATATATATATATATATATATATATATATATATATATATATATATATATACAATATGTTATTCAAAGATGCAACCAATGTTGGCAGAATACATAAATGTTAATTCAGTTCATTCATTCAACATTTTGTGTTAGGAAAGTGAGTAATTTTTTATTTATTATTATTTGTGGTGTGCACCTCACCTGTTGTAAATAATGTAAAAAACTGCACCATCTATTCAGTAAAATGGCAATAAGAATTTATTTGTAAACAGTAGTTAATATACAAATGGTTGGAGTAAATAGCAAAGAACAATGTATTTTATAGCATATATAATCTTTGTTTATGTTAGTGCAAAT